TTTCGATGGAGATCATTCGACTTGGCAAAACTGGAGCAGACTCTGGCAGGATCTGGCGCCTCCGGTGCTTTCTTCAGTTCCATAAATCAGTAGCTTACTAAGCAGCTGAAGTCTGAAATCCAAGCCAGAACCTCCGAGAAGCTGCTCCCTGGACGAAGTCACTAGCCGCAATTCGACCAACCAGCTAATGACAAGCTCAAATTTGCCTCAACTGCCAGGTGGTCCTCCCCAACGTCTCTCTCAGGATTGGACACACAGACACACAACACCAGAAGAATCCAGAGCGACGGCAGCCAACGTAACATCAACCTGCTGGTTGTTGTTCAGTGGCTGCCGAGGCTTGCTTGTGCAACAGTAAGGAAATCTCAAGAGGCTGTCCAGCGGCATATTGGAGAAGGATTGCATCTGCAAATCGCGTTGACCCGCCCACCAGCTTGAACCGGTCCCTGGACACAGTACAATCACCATGTGGACAGTGCTTGGTGTGTGAGAACATTTTTGCATTCATAGACATCCTAGTGCGTGTTGCAGGATAGGCACTGTTGACCGGACCCTTGATAGCATGGAGCCCGAGCACCTTTGCAGGGTAGACGCAGCCTGGAAACGTGGAGACTATTCTTTTTTGCTCCCTGCCGCAATTGCTTGTCTGCCTGTCTTGCTCTCTGTCTGTCCTTTTGTTTTGTTGCATTTTTTTTGCAATCGATTGCAGCAGTATTCTTGTCCTGTACTAGCTTTTGTTCGCTTGTCCTACACAGGCTCTTCTGTTCTTGTTTCATCTGTTTTGTTTTGCTTGCACTTGGAGGAATGCAGCCTCAGCATTGCCAAACCTTGCAGAAGTATACTTTGAAGCCTCACATTGCTCCAAGTTCCTCTCCCAAAAACTTTCCCCCACAGCACCATGGAGAATTTGTCCTTGCATTAGGAGTTTATCTCCAAGAATCAAGCCCCTCACTGCAAAGTCCCACAGTACGATTCCATGACATAGCTAGCTCCAACCCTCGCACAGCTCAGTCCGCCACTACTGACAGTTCTAGACCATGCCTTCTTTTGGCACTCATTTCTTCACTGGCATCCTCCTGTGCAGGGACCGCAGCTGTGGGGCTGAGAAAGAATGTTGTTCAGCGTTTCCATTTCTGGAAAGTACTGTGCCTCTTGCAAACCGTTTGAGAAGTAGGCTGTTGCTGAACTGGATGCAAAACCATCGTTTTGAATGCCACTGCTCGGATGTGAGGCGATTATTTTGATAGTTTCCATTGCCTTGATGAACCTAGTAACGGCCGTGCCTTGTCTGCAACAGTTGAAGGAACAATTTGACATGAATGTGCGGAAGTGGTTTCCCAGTCATTTTGATCACGAGGTGTTGGTTGAAGGTGCATTGGAGAATGCCCAAAATGACAAGGAAGCTGACAAAGTCGACCTTCAAGAGAAGCTGAAGCGAGCAGATCCTCAGCAGATAAATTCATAGAGGATTGTCCGAGTCTCGCTAATGAAGACACTCGCTTCTTGTTAGTATATAGTAGTAAGGCCAGGAGCTGCTAGTAGCGTCCTTGCTCCTAGTAGCGATGCCCTTTGTTCCTAGTAGCTTCTTTTTGCCCTACTTGTGAGTCAAGCAGGTTCCAAAGATCCGGCAAGTCTTCCATGCAATGGATGCCAATGGAGACGGCAATGTTTCCTTGGAGGACACTCAAAAGAACAAGCATTTGTTGACAGTTTAAAGACTTTGCATGTGTTGTCTAATATTGGCTTGACCCACAAGAGTGTGCAGGAGATCGAGGCTGTCCCCATGGACGTGCTGCCAAAAGAGCTGTTTGAGAAGAGTGGAATCAGCAGCATGAAGGTGAGGGAGGATCTGTTTCTGACACTGGGGACACAGAATTCTCATCAAACTACGTAAGCTTCAAGCGAGCGGGGCCTCCTCATGAGATTCGCCGCCTGCGTCGATGTGTCAAACATTTTGTTGCTGTCGAGCAAAGTTGTGGACTTGTACATCAACCTAATACAGTTGGGGTTCCTCGCTCTAAAGACATGCTGAGTGTAGCGACCATTTGTTTGTGTTTAAGTCAAGTCAGGTGTGGTTTACTCTCTGTGAAAGAGCTCTGACTATCAAAGTGTCAGAATGTCGAGGAGATTTTTGCAATCCTTGATGTTGATGGTGGAGGTGAACTATCGCAAGATGAGTTTGTTTGGGACCCTAAGCAGCTGCACTACCTTCAGCTCCATATCATATCGTGATGCTCACATTGTACTTCAGGTCGATGGCCTTTTGGACATTTTCTTCCGAGATGTACCACTTGAGATCCTTGGCCATTTGTAGTGTTGGACATTCCACCTAACTAGAAGGCTTTTATAAGAGCACTTGTAATAATTCAAGAGATGCCCACGACAGCAATGGTTTCACTGCGGAAATGATCTTGAAGGACAGTGCAAACTTTGAAGCTTCTCCGGCTGATGGAGCATCGGTTGAACACTTTGAAAGAGATCATCGTGATGTTTCAAAATTTCCAGGTTGGGAATTCTTTCTGTCCATCATGTGAATACGTACTGATCATTATTCCTTCAACTTTAGACTTGACTTCTTGTACCTTCAACCAATGGAAAGAAACAACATTTGCAGACTGCAATGCTCCCACCTTTCCTCAAGTTCACTTCTTCACTTCAGAGAGCCATTGCGAGAGACATATAGAGAGCGAGAGCGAGAGCGAGAGAGGAGAAGAGGAGAGGAGAGGAGAGGAGAGGAGAGGAGAAGAGAGGAGAGGAGAAGAGAAGAGAAGAGAAGAGAAAAGAAAAGGAAAGAGAAGAGACTGGTTCGACATGTTGACACCAGACATTGGCTCAGGCACGAACTTTGATTTGCAACGCTGCCTGTCTAGGGCAAAAAGCACACCTAAGACCCTGTTGAAGTGTAACTTAATAAGGCAATGCACCAACCATACAATTTGTTTCGCCAAGGTGTGCATATTTTCTGTCTCTCCCTCCCTCCCTCCCTTCCTCCCTCCCTCCTTTCTGCTACCTTAAGAATCGCCGTTTTCTTCCAAGATTCTTCAACAATTCAAGCGTTGCCTGTTGCCCTTCAGTTTCTTTCAGCAATTTGCTCAATCCAATCGTGTGGACACGGCCTTTCAATTCACATCTTCTCACCTTGTCGGGCCCAAAACAGTTACTGTATATATATATATAGGCTTTCTTTTGCCACAATTTGGGTCCAGCCTTGCCAGGTTCTATTGCCGTGCCCGTCATTTCTTGACTATATAATATAACTACGCTACTATTATGCCTGCCCTTACAGCACAATATTCATCCACGTTCCCGAACATGCGGCTTCACGAAACTCCAACGTATTGTGGTGGGCAACCTATTGTTTCTGCCAAATTGTGAGACTTTTCCTCAACATCCAGAAGCAGGAGCCGTTGAAGCCGTTGTCCCCCCTGAGCCTACTTTCAAGTGAAATACAATTGAAATGCTCTCTTGCTTGGTCTTCAGTCTGGACCTAGCACCAGCTTGGCTTGTCTCCTCCCCACGTTCTCCCACTCACACTGCTCCCATTCCTCTATTTGCCCATTCGGCTATATATTATTCCCATCGTGCCCGGTGGAACAAGGCACACTTCTTTCAAGCAACATGATGCCATGCCTTGAAGCCTGTTGAAGCCCTTCACGCTGTCTCCATTCTCTGTAGTTCTTGTGGGGTTGACCTGAGCCAACGTGAGTCATGGCGTGTGCAGGGCCCACAAGCTCAACACATCACATCGCCTCAGCCGGTTCAGGCGCACTTAGGACCTGAAAGGGGTGACCACCCGATTTGGACCAAAAGCAAGAGAACCTACACGACAGCCGGACTCTATCTTCGGATTTTGTTGTGGGGACTTATTGCTGATGCACAGTGAAACAGATTGCCAGCAATTCCATGTTTCCGTTGATTTTGAAGGCAGACCAGAGCTTGCAGAACCCATCTGAGACATTCCGCATGCTGCTTTCTTGAGTGCCTTGACAAGCAAAAAATACCACCACAAGCCTGTTACAATTTGCGATTCTTCAGCCGTTGCATTGAAAGCTGAGGTGCGTGAGGACAAGAACCGAGGTAAAAAAATGAGTCAATGAGTGGCGGAGCCACATAGTTGGGATTAAGTGCCCTCTAGATACATAGGCCGAGCCAACAACTTGGTTTGCAAACGCGGGCTGTCTCACATGAAAAACTTGCTGCATCCCCAGGTGCATAGGCAAGGGGCACCAACTCGCGTGATTGTTAAGCTTGCAGTAGCAGGTTTCTGATTGCTAGGTGTTCAGAGTTTGGACGGTAATTACTTTAACATATGACCGTTCGCCAGAGGTTCGATCTCTTTGAATTGGTGCTTTTTCCCATCCTGGACTCCGGCGGCAAGACGTGTTCTTTGCGGGGAATTGAACTTCCGACAGGCTTTGGGTTTCTTGTCCAAAGGACTGAAGAAACAGCCGGTATGGAAGGCATCATGTACCAGCTTTGAGCTTTGGTCCTTTGCTGGGCAGCACAAAAGAAGCGATAGACTGGATTAGTCTTGGACGTGCATTTTTGAATTGATGAGCAAGCGAACTTGGCTAGTATGATGCTTGCAGACAATTTTGAAGTCCTGAGTCAGGGTCTGAGCCCAAGCCACACCTTGGCCATCCAACTTCACTGAAGTCCACTGGTTTGTCTTGCGTTTACCCAAGACTGATGCGATGACTTTCACTGGGCGCTTGAAGCTATGCAGTGCATTGCAGTGCTGATTCAATCCAACTCGCACATGTGGTGGATTAGGCGAGTTGGACCAGTTTGAGTGTAAAAAAGACCGGAAAGTCCAGTGCACATGGTTCTGTTGATTTCAAAACTCAACGATTTCTCGACGATATTGGGCTCCAGGGATCTTCAAAAGCAGAAGGCAAAAGCAATGAAGAGACATGCGCCAAGCTAGTACTTGATTGTGCCATTTGGGCTGATGGCTTCTGATTTCTGTTCACAAGGAACAGAATCCCAACATCAAATTCACAACATAAAGAGTTGTGAGGGCCAAGCTGAGCGTCGGAGATGTTGAGGCGACTCTCAATTGTGTGCGAAGCTTAGTCGACTTTATTCAGGGTTCCAGGATGTTCCAGGCTTCGATCCATTTTGTGAATGAAACTGGGGTTGCAAAAAAGCTGGCGGCATGTTCACAGAGCTGGCTTGGGAACTCTGCAACAGATTTTTTGCTGTGTGCTGCATCAGCCAGCCAAAATCAGATTTGACGGGAGGTGGAAGTTATGGCGGGGTTCAACATAATTAGGACTTGAGGTCCATCAAGCCAACCAAGCATAATGCCTCGGCTTGAATCCAAGAACCAGCCTAGCACTTGGATGTCAAACATGGCTTCCCAAGTGGGCAGACAACAGGTTCGGCGTTAGCCAGGCAACAGAAGCTGCAAACCTGAAAGGAAAGAAGAAAGGAAAACACGAAGGGAAAGTACACAGAGAAAAGAAGAGTGCCTACCCACCCCTGGAGCTTGTTTTCTATATCATAAGCTTGCCAACGGCTATCTGTGGGAACGACAAGGTTCAGAGCTGGAAAGGCCTTCAACCTGGCCATGTGCTTGTGGGAAATGCTTGGAATAGAAGCTGGGCCTATGCCGGTGCAATTTGCTTTGTACTTTTCTACGTCTCACGGTCTCTTGGCCGTCCGACCGTATGTGAATTCTGGATTCAAACAAGCATGTCTTCGGCAGCGTACCCTTGCCGCCTTTGGGTATATAATTTGTGGGTTTCTTCAAGGATGAATTTTTGTCGATGTGGCTTCTGGCAAATGTTGTTTTTAGGAGCAGATAGAGCGGGGGACGGCCATGTTAAGAACCATGAAGAAGAAAATTCTGAACACAAAGACAAGAATAATTCAACAGAAGAGGGAAAATAAGCAATAAGCTGCAGAGCACCGGGAACCGGGTAGACCGCAACGGCGGCAAGACGCATCCCTGCATGGTCTGACACTGAGGCACTCCTTCGTTTAGGATGCAGAACACTGAAGGTTCGCCCCAGCAGAATGATAGTTTTTGTAACGAATCCCTGCGCACAAATTGTACCCGACAAACGTTGTTTCATGCTGCAGGTTCCCGCGCTTGAAGCACATGTGAAAGAGCATGTTGCCTAAAGAGGATGGCTGGTTCGCAGGCTCTATATCTTTGTTATACTGTATATAATTATACATGGGGCGGCTGATGATGGTCAGAGCTTATCTACCCAACAGTGAAAAAGAGTATTCTGTGTTTTGGTTGCTTGTTCCTTGCCAAGGGAGACCAGGATGTTTATATATATATATATGCATTCTGTTCTGAAACTGCAATCAGAACACGTCTGCTCGTTTCCTCCCTACTTTGCATAATTGACCACTCTGACCGGACATTGTCTTTCCAATCCAATAACGTCACTTTGGTTGTGCCTAGTCTGAACCAAGGCTGGTATGCAGTGTCTTGGTCCAGGCTTTGGGAAGTGGTGTCAAACAGCCTTGTCTTTTTGTATTCGGTGGGTCTTTTGCCAATCCAGGGAGCCTGGGACCAGTCCAAGTGCGACTGTTGCGATGAATATACATTGCAAAGCCCTCGGCGAGTGCTGTTGGAACGTCACTGTTCCTCGTCACTGTTTGCCTGCAATGCATCAGGCGGGCGTACGCAGGCGAGCTGAACCGCCACTGTTTTCCAGCTGCACTCTTGCGGGAGAAAGAGGACACTCTTCCTGTTTGACCTTTCTTTTAGGCCAAGATAAGTTCAACTGACCTGCAAGGACGTCATTATAGGAGAGGCGTTTGATGGAAGTCCGTCTGTTCCGCAAGAGGCTTTGCCAAGTCCTCAAGGGGTTCCCTTGTGCCAAGTCTTCGCAAGATGAGGGATACAATTGGCATCACTTAGGCAGATCCTTTGTGTGTCTGGCCAAGATTTGAGTTGATTTCAGACAGCTTGTGCCGGTGCCCTTCACTCTGCAAGTTTAAGGCAAGTGCATTGTGCAGAAGCAGTGTCCTTCGTATCTCTGGCATGTGGATTGTATTCTGTTGTGCTAAGCAGCATAATTTGTAGTCATTATCAATCATGTTTGCTGTTTGACAGTGCCAACCAAAACGATACTTTCAGCGCAAAGTAGCGGTCATGTACCACGCCAAGTTAACAGTTGATGAGCTGCCCTTGATACCTCCATGAGTCCACCCAACAATCAGTGCAAAGTTTGTCTTTAGATAGCGACAGCTATGGTGTTCCTTCAAATAAGAATGAGCTTGCTGTGCGCTTTCGAGACAGGGTGCCAGGGCTAGTGCTGGTGCTGGGTGCCGGTGTTGGGTGGCGGTGCTGTGAGCTGGCTGTGCGCGTGGTGGAGACAGGGTGCTGGAAGGTTCTTTCTTCCAGTACAAGAAGAGGTTCCTGTGTGTGTTGTGGAGCTGGTGCCACTGCAGGGTGCTGTCCAGACATATTTTTTGCATATCTGGGGCGTATGCTGGTGTAAAATTTTTTAAAGCCCATGGTGTCTGTTACTATAGAATGGAAATCAGCTCCATGTAGGTACATATCAGGGTACCAGCGGGTACCATGCATTTAGAGAGTGAATTGTTGACTTTCTCGCCTGTACGTGGATTTTTGCAGTTTATACAAGTGTCTGATTGAGCATGCCTTCCTACATGAATATTTCAACTCTTGCAATTTGCAAACTTGCCAGGGTACTGGGCCCGGGTCCGTGGATGCTCAGAAAGCAGCAAGTGGAAGTGGCTCAATGGCATTCAGTTCAATTTTAATGGGGTTAAATTCTGGTCAAGCAGCGGCTGGAGCATCGCTGCAGGCGATATGGATTTGCCTGGGCAGCGGCGAAGGTGGGAGCTTGAAAATCTGCACATTTTTTCCCTTTGTTTCTAATATCGATGGCCTCCAACCTACTAGCGATGGCCTCCACCCTAGTAGTGATGGCCTCCTCACTTCAAAAAGTCAAGTCCCACTCTGCTTGTCCAACAAGGTTCGATGCATGCGACTTTCCCAGGCCGGGTTCTATTTTGCAGTCTTGCGACTTTAGTTACTTTGCAGCGACAATGCAGGCCCCACCCCGTCAAATTGTAGTGGGGCTTCAAAGTCCGCCACACCAAAGCCACATGAATTGAATGAGGAGCAAGATCCAATCCAGCAGTACCAGGCACGTTTTTGCTTCAAGTTCAAGCAAACCGATATACATTATTGGACGTCCAGTACTGTTTCAGTTGCTTGCATCCGAAGCCTGTTCTATTGTAGTTTGTTGATGCATATTGCAATTTGACAACGTTGATCTGTTGATTGCGGCGATGGTTTGGTGTAAACTTTTTCTGCAGGTCCTGATGCAGGCAACATTTAGCTGCGAAAGGTCACAGGAGCGACCACGATCAACAACAAGCGAAGTGCAGATTCTGGGTATCTTTTACATTATTTGTCCTTTTGCTCCTACCTTTTCTCTTCATTCCTTGTTCCACGCTTCCAAGTGCATTCTTTTCAAAGCAGGCCATGGACTCTGGAAGTCTTGAAGCTACGTCAGCAGCAATCAAAGAGGTGGGTCTTTTTTAACAATTGTTCTTGCGTTGCATTGGTCCTGGACCCATGAGTGCACACGAAGGGTTTTGCCCTGAAAAGACTGCAAGAAACCAGATCGGCCAATTGAGATGTCCCCAATGTTTGGCTCAGCTTTTGTGTTTGTAGCTCTGGTTCCTGAAACCCAGACTATACAGACACACAGTTGTTGCATCCATGCGAAACAAACAAACAGACAGACAAAGACAGACAGACAGACCGGCCGACCGACCGACCAACCAGCACTGAAGAATCAGAACCTTAACCGCTATTGATGGAAGCATGGAGCAGCCTTTGAATGACAGCATGGATATAGAAGAAACTCTAAGTCTAGCTTCCAAAGCGTTTTTTGAGCACTTGGATATGAGCAACTGGGTTCATTGCTCAGAGTGGCAAGTGACAACATGGCACCTGGAAAAGTCCTTGGCGTGACAAGTTTATGTATGACCAAGAGTACTTTCTGAGAGGCTGTTTTGCAGATGTTTGCCCAAGGTTGATGGACATGCTGAGGAACAATTGAAGATGCTTTGCATGATTTATTGCATGAAGCAATCCTGAAACGTGTGAAATTGCATTTGTTTGTTGATTGCCACCTGTATATGACATCTCGTGACAGTGCTCAAGGCGAAGCTCCAAAGTCTTGAGAGAACTGGCCAAGATACTGGAGAACATTGTCGGCAAAGATAGTCGAGTGTCAGTGAGTCGTTGCTTTTGCTTTAAGTCTAAAAGGGGTGTTGCTCTAGATGTCGTACTTGCATTTCGTTGCAACGTTTCTGCCCTTTCTCGGGCCGCGATATAGGCATCGCCTGCGTAGCCGCTAATTGGGGGTTTTTGGCTAGCTCGAGTTTGCTGAGTTGTGATTGTTGTACACGGCGTCCGTGCGACTTTGCCTTCATTTGTTCATAAAGCCTTTCTTTTGGCTTAAATTTTCCATCAAGACGGTCACCTTGCTGCAATCGTTCTGGCCCTGTAAGTTCTTCAAATTGAGACTTGCTAGCAAACACACCTACGGAGACGTCACGGACTCCTCTCGAGCATCCTCGTGGTGTGAAATATGATTCCATTTCGTTGATTTCGTTGTCATCAAAATGGGCTAGACGCACGACGGCCAGAGAATATGCGGATCGGCTTTCAGCGGGCAAAACCGCTATGAGGAGAGATGGACAAGCACCGCAAAAGGCGTGGATTGACTCTCGACAGGCCAGGACTGCCAGGACTTAGGATCCAAGTCTTGCGCAAAGGAAATTGGCCACGCAGGCTGAAATTTGCACAGCTGTGACCATTCTGATCTATGCAATTTTCATTGGCTTTGAGCTAGAGATGCTTGGTAGCAAAGCCATCCTGGAGTGGTCACCATCCCGAGCAATGGCCAGCATAGCAAAACGGATTTTGCGAGGATTGAGACCAATCATCCACATGCAGCACCGGAGCTTTCCATTGACTCTTGGCAAGTGCAAAGAAGCATAACATGCAGCAATTGGGTTGAGAACGAAGAACACCCAGGCTGTCGTATGTATAAGTCAAGTCATACTTGTGTTGAAAACGAGGTGTTGCCAAAAAGGCTGTCACCCGGTGTATCAAGGCCTTTCTGATTTGCCATGCCAGCGGCCCAGTGTCACGACTGTCGTTGTGAAGACGCCAGTACATTGTTTCTGAGGTCATTTTCAATATTGTTTTTGTCGTGGAGTTGGTGTTGAGACTTCGATCCGTTGGGATAAGGCTCGTCAGCAAAGCATTTGGCCGCTTCATCGAAAGATACAGTAGAAACATCCACCTTTCCTGTAATATGCTCTTGCGGTGACAAGCGATTGATCGGTGTCAGCAAGGCCTATCATAAAAGCCGTCAACCTCGATTGCATAACAGCAGTTGATAGACACAGCCCCAACCTCCATAGGCAGAGTCAGACTTTGCCTGTAGGTACTGTTCTCCTTTCAATCCAGTAGGTTTCTTTGCTCCTTGGATATTGAGAAGAGCTTTTGATCACCGAGTGCCAAGTGCATTTCACTTGCTCTGATAATTGGTAATGTATTTCAGCCCTACTCGGAAGATTGAGGACACCTTGATCATCCTTATTGGCACTGGTGAGACGGTCTTCTCCGTGTCTCTGGCCATCATGTCGGAAACAGAAGGTAGTGTGCCTCGGCCAAATTCAAAAGTACAAGAAGCTACTCGGAACACAGGGCATCGCTACTAGGAGCAAGGACGCTTCTAGTAGCTCCTGGCCTTACTACTAGTAGCAGGAAGCTACTCGGAACACAGGGCATCACTACTAGGAGCAAGGACACTTCTAGTAGCTCCTGACCTTACTAATAGTAACAGGAAGCTACTCGGAACACAGGGCATCGCTACAAGGAGCAAGGACGCTTCTAGTAGCTCCTGGCCTTACTACTAGTAACAGGAAGCTACTCGGAACACAGGGCATCGGTACTAGGAGCAAGGATGCTACTAGTAGCTCCTGGCCTTACTACTAGTAACAGGACGCTACTAGGAACAAAGGGAATCGCTACTTAAAGGACGCTTCTAGTAGCTCCTGGCCTTACTACTAGCAACAGGAAGCTACTAGGAACAAAGGGCATCGCTACTAGGAGCAAGGACGCTTCTAGTAGCTCCTGGCCTGACTACTAGTAGCAGGAAGCTACTAGGAACAAAGGGCATCGCTACTAGGAGCAAGGATACTACTAGTAGCTCTTGGCCTTACTACTAGTAACAAGAAGCCATTAGGAACACAGGGCATCGCTACTAGGAGCAAGGACGCTACTAGTAGCTCCTGGACGTTCTACTGGTAACAAGAAGCTACTAGGAACAAAGGGCATCGCTACTAGGAGCAAGGACGCTACTAGTAGCTCCTGGCCATACTACTGTAACAAGAAGCTACTAGGAACAAAGGGCATCACTTCTAGGAGCAAGGACGCTACTAGTAGCTCCTGGCCTTACTACTAGTAAGAGAAAGCTACTAGGTAACAAAGGGCATCGCTACCAGGAGCAAGGATGCTACTAGTAGCTCCTGGTCTTACTACTAGTAACAAGAAGCTACTTGGAACAAAGGGCATCGCTACTAGGAGCAACGACGGAGCTCCTGGCCTTACTACTAGTAACAAGAAGCTATTAGAATCGTGAAGCTTGTGGTGGCATCGCGCCTCCACCCCAGGGGGATGGTTCTTCAGTGCTTGCCATTGCTGGTGTCATGCGTATTCTCCGATTGCTTCGTCTTGCTAGGCGAGGAAAGCTTAGTTCTTGACCCTCACAAGCATTTGCAACGTGTATTGTTGTTTGAGATGGACTGCGTCAATGCAGTTTCAAAGGCGTCGGAGACAGCACTAGGTGCGGTATGGATTGATCACTTCTTCGGATGCAGAGCCAGTTTCAGCAACAACAATCCGGCCACAATCCCTGCACCATATAGTTATACATACAGGCCCCTACAGGCTGGCGAATCCGATCATACTTGTACCCGAATATTCGCCGAATAGATCCAACAAAGTAGGATGATGTGAGACTGTATATGTTGGGATATGTTAAGTGTGCAATGTGCAAACTGTGAGTTCTGCAAATTATACACAAAGGCGACTGTCTGAAGGCTGGCTGTTGCACCTGGCATGACTTCGCAACTCAAGTATACTATTTTTTTCTGGCCGTGCATGAGACACGGACCACCAATTGTTAGAACCACCTTGTTTCCTGCAAGGCTCCTGCGAGGCTTCTTGGTTTGCCATGAGTTGCGCTTGCTTGTCACAGGCGAGATCGCGTCTTGTTGCTGTTTTTTGTTGCATGGACTAGCATCAATCAGCAACTTTTGTGATGTGCCCACAGAATTCAGGCATGATGCTGGCGCTCCCAACTGTCGTGTGGGCTGGCGTCCTGTTTGCAATTGTCGTGTATTTGGGAACGATGCATCTCGGCAGAACCTTGTGTGCCGCTGAACATTTTCATGCCCGCCCGCTCGGCCTTTGTTGTGCACTTATTCTTGATTCTAGTGCTCAAAGGGCTCACGCCATTATGTATATATGTACTGTATATACACATGTTTTTGTGTTTCTCTTGTATGCTCCCGTTTCTGAGTGGTGCCCGTTGGCGCCGCTTCGACAATTCTGCCACAAATGACTGCAAGACATCAGCCACTTGAACGTGCCTGGTGTGGTGACCCTGCTCTTCATTGGATTCCTCCCCAGAATGCAACCACTGCCTGCTCCCTGGTCAGGTTGTGGTACATATATACCTAAGCAGAAGGCAGTTGTCACAACACACTTGAAGCTAGCAAGCAGCGTAGCATTGGTTGTCTGAGTCTATGTACAGATCATAGAGGGCTCAAAGTTTTGTTTCAACCAGAAGTGCTAAGAGCACTGAGTACTTGATGCATTTGTTTTGGCAGCATTGTGCATTCTAGGGTAGGCGGTGTGAAATTTGTGGGCCAAGTTCCAGTACAATGAGGTAACTTACCAGGTCAGGTTATAGCTTCGCAGCCTTCCACAGCCGCCTTTCACGAGCCGCAAGAAGTTCCACTGGTGGAAAAAGGAATGCTTCAAGTCACCGGGTGTTTCTGCGTAATTGAATCGCCCGGGCTGACTTTCATTGGCAAGACCTGATAACTTGGGATACGCGTTTATGTCATGAATCATGAGAGATCAATCCACCGAAACAGGTTCCAAACTTCCGCCAACCAACACAGCACCGCCAACTGGACCACCAACTGGTAGGATTTTGGGCCGAGACAGCTGCAGATGTATAAGACCTCAGGGATGGAGTGTGGCAAGAACCAAGCCAAACGAGCAAGCTCAGAGTTTTCAGGCGTGTTGGAAGAAAAGTTGTTTTGGCTGTTCTTTTTCCCCAATAGCCATGCTATGGGGTCTTGCAAAACTAATAGGCGGACGGGCGCCGTCGGGTCACCGTCAGAGCTGGTGGGCGGATGGTGTCCCGGTCATGTTTTGATGGCGTCCGGGTCATGTGATGCTGGTGTCCCGGTGTCCCGATCATGTTTTGATTG